GGGCCCGGGCCCCTGCCGGTCTGTGGCGGGTCGGTGTTCCCCAGCCTCTCCCTCACCTTCGCTGCCCCAGGCACCCCAATGAGTTCCCAGGTCCAGGCCTTTGCTTGGCTCTGCCCAGCCTGCAGTGCCCTCCCAGACCTGGCCCCCGCGTGGCCAAGCCCCCGTCTCCCGCCTGGCAGGTGCTTTTGTCGAAGCCTCCCTGACCCCAGCTTGTGACTGGACTCCTATGGCCCCTGCTCAGCTCAGTGTCCCCTCAGACTCAGGGGCTCCCTGAGGGCCGGCCGCGTCTGTGGGGTCCGGCGGTGTCCCCAGTGCCCAGCACAGCAGGCGCTCAACGCATGTGAAACCAGTGAGTAACCAGACACGGGCTCGCCCGGAACCGGGCCTTCCCCGGCCTCGGTCTTCAGCTGCCTGCCCGGCTCACGCGCCTCCTGGAATCTCGGTCCAGCCGTCACTCATGGATCCTGGGCCTCAGGAGACCAGGACAGGCAGGAAGTGCGTGGACGGGTGGTGTCGCTGCGTGCGGACCCCGCGCCTCGGGGCCCCCCGCCCGTCCAACGCCAGGAACATGGGCCGGCCGCGGTGGCGCCAGGGCACGGACTCGTAGGTGGTAGGTGTTGTAGCCGTTTCTCCATGCGCTCCCAGAACGTAGCGCAGACCCGCTTCGGGCCGGGCTGTGGGCGGCCCTGGCCACGCCCCTGGCCACGCCCCCACTCGGGCGCGCCCCACGCACCCCAGCCCGCCCCGCGCACTTGCACTCACTGACCCGGAGTGGCGGCCGCGACGGTTCATGGCCACGTGAAAGCCGGTGTCCACGACCTTGAGCGCCACGACGCCCACGCGGATGGAGCGCATCTCGAAGAAGACGCCTGCGGGGAGGGGCTGGGTCAGGGCCCGCCCACCACCCACTTGCCCACCCACCCCGGTCTTCATTCATTCATTCGTGTGGGGAACATTCCCCAAGTACCTACCGTGCTCCTGGCCCTGTGCTGGGCGTGGGGATGCACCAGGGACCACGCAGGTCCGTGAGAGTGGCCGTGGCCGTGGGAGTGAGTGATGGGGTGGGGGAGGAAGGACACCAGGCCAGGGGGAAGGCCTGAGGCAGGACTGGCCCTGATGGGTCGGGGGAAATCACTGGGGAGAGCTCGGGGTTTTCTCTGGAGGGCAATGGGGAGCCCAGGGGAGGGCCCCGTTAGTCAGGGATGAGAAAACCAAGCCAGAAGAGGTGAGTGCCTGCCAGGTGAGCTGCTGCTATCAGATGTAGACCCCCGGTAATGACCCTGACAGCTCGGCTAGCCACGGCCGTGTCCGGTTATGGGGGAGACAATTCCAGACAGGAGGTACGGCCCAGGCAACGGCCTGGGGGTGGGACACAGGGTGTTTAAAGCACAGTGTGTTCAGATCAGTGATACCCGCTAACACTGCTTGATTGCCAGCTGTATGCCAGGCATTGTATCCCACCAAGCCCACGCAGCAGCCCCAGGAGGGAGGTGTGGACCGTGCCCACTTCCCACAGGGGAAAACTGAGGCCTGAGAAGTGGCAGAGCCAGTTTCTCGGGCCCTGTCTGTGGATGGATGACCCTGGGCGAGCCCTGCCCAGTCTGAGCTGATGTTTCCTATCCAGTGAAGCAGAGCTGGGGGACAAGCCCCAGCCCACACTCTCTGAGCCACACCCAGGCACTGGGGCCTAATCTGGAGTCAAGGCCTTGCCCTCTGGTGTTCAGTCTGGACTTGGATGCCTCAGGTGACGGGCAGCTCACCTCATGTCCCACAGGACATTTGCACCTGCTATTTCCTGCGTCAGGCACTCAGCTCCTCTTGTGCACGGCCAGCTCCTTCTTTATGAGGCTCAACTCAAGCCCACCTCCTCATTGTCACCCTTATCGCTGCCCAGATGGGGAAACCGAGGCTCAGAGAGAAGCAGTGACTGTCCCAGGTCACCCAGCAGAGCCAGACCTCACCTCCAGCCCGAGGCCACCCTTCCTGGCCAGGCCCAGCACTGAGCAACCGGCCCAGCCACTCCCCCTGTCCTTGCCCTCGTCCAGTTAGCCTAACGAGGGCCTTGAGAGCCCCAGATGAAAGCAGGTGGGAAGGGCAGGGGTGATTACCTGCCCTAGTGGTGGTGATTCAGGCAGTGGCCGGCAATGGCTCGGCTCCCCCGCTCCTCTGCTCAGCCTCAAAAAATGTGGGGAGACTGAGACAGGCCTGGGGTCACCGACCACCCTGGTCTCCCACTCATCACCAAACTCCTCCTTCTCCTTCTTTGTCCCTTCATCTCCTCTTGCCTCATACATTCCACACTTATTGAGCACCTACTGTTTGCTGGGCAGGGCAGCAGGGATATGACTCCAACTCGATGAGGTTCTGGGCACTTTGGAGCCCTAGCTCCATGCCCCCACCTCCCACCTCAGGCAGGTCATTTGCTCTCTCTGTGCCTCAGTTTCCTCATCTGCCAAATGGGTGTCTAGGAAGACATAGAGGGGTCCCCAACTCTGGTAGGTCCTGAGTTTTGTTTTGCAGGGTGGGGAGTTCAGAGTTCAGACCCAGCTCTGCCCCCATCTCATTATGTACTGGGCCCACAGGGGCCCTTCTGGGAGCCTCAGCTTCCCCTCTGTAAATGGGTCCCGTGACCCCAACCTCAACTGTCTCACAAAGACCCTTCTGCTGAGCCAGGACCGGAGCTGGGAGCTTCCCCTGTGACCTTCACCCCAACTGTCCAACCCTCCTTCCATGTGAGTTGGACCCCACTTTACAGTTGAGGAAGCTGAGGCCCCAGTCAGGAAATGACTTGGCTAACGCCACGCGGCCAGAGAAGCCTCCGGACCCTCCCTCAAGTGAGAGAGGGCCCAGCTCACTGCTCCTACTACTGCTGCCTTTGCCGTTATTGTCCGCCTATCTGCCCTGTACCCCTGCCCCCGCGCAGCGCCCCCGGCTACTCACTGTCAGGGCTGTCGCGCCAGCGGGTGCCCTGCACGCGGCCGCTGGGGTCCACACAGAGGAAGAAGTGGGTGGAGGGGAAGAGGCGCCGCCAGCGCACGTCGCCCTCCAGATGCATGTGGCTGCGTGGTCTCCGCGGACTGTTTGGGGTCCCCGCGGCGCCGGGCGCCCGTGCCAGCAGTACCCACGCCAGGCCCAGTCACAGGCGGCCGCGTACGGCCCCGCGCCCCGCTCGCCGCCGCCCGGTCTTGACTCCCCGCGCGCGTCCGCGGCTCTGCCATTGCGAGATGCGGGGGCAGAGTGCCCGACGGGGCCAATAGGGAGCCTCGGGGGCGGGGCCAGAGCCACAGTGGGTGGGCCGGGATGCGGGGCGGGGCCGTGGTCAGGGCGGCCTGACCGCCCTGCAGAGTCTGGGACAGGCCAATGCGGCTCCTGGGGGGCGGGGCCAGAGCCGCAGGGGGCGGGACGACTCCTCACGGGGGTGGGGCCAGTACAAGGGCGGGGCCCATTCGGGAAAACACTCCGGCCTCCACGCGTGTTTGTTTGCCTTGCGGGGCGGGGAGGGCGGTGCTTGTCCGTGAGTAGCCAGATTGGCCTGCAGGGGCTGCGGGGGTGTGAGTGTGAGAGAGGCGGGCCACAGAGACACGGCGGGAGTCAGAGCCAGAGAGAGGGAGAGACAGAGCCAGAGACAGAGAGATATAAAGACAGAGCCAGGTGTACAGCACAGGTCTTGTAATAACCTATAATGGAAAAGAATCCAAAACAGAATAGATATATATGTATAACTGAATCACTTTGCGGTACGCCTGAAACTAACACAACATTGTAAATTAACTACACATCAATTTTTTAAAAGGGTAAAAAAAAAAAAAAAAGAGCCAGAAACAGAGAAAGACAAAGACAAAGAGACAAGAGACTGAGAGGCAGAGATAGACAGAGACTAAGATGCAGGGACAGAGTCTATGAGACTGCACAGGCGGAGATGGCTGAGACAGAGACAGACAGATGTGTGAGAGACAGAGAGACAGGGAGAGACGGAGCTGCCCAGGGGTCAGAGGTTGGGATGGAAGTTCTGGCCCAAGTGCCTGTCCATGCCAGCCAGGCCCCTGGATAGGGAGTGCCCCGGGGGGCTTGTCTACCCTTCCAACTAGAGCTTCCTGAGAGCCAGGCCCAGGGGGCATGCGGCTTCGCTGAGGGCTGGGCCTGGGGGAAAGTGTGGGTGGAGGGGCAGGTGAACTGTTGGAGCGTATGCTGTGCACACAGGTGTTGGGCAGCGAGGTGGCCGATGGGAGGATGGATAGTTGGACATGTCCGAGGCCAGCTGATGGGGACCGGGTTGATGACCAAGGCCAGCACCCCGTCCCCAGCATCCGTCTCTGCATGTCCAAGGTGGTAGGAATGAGGCCACCCTGTTACAGACATACCCACCCAGTGCCCTGGGCCCTGGGGTGCCCTGGGCCCTGGGCAGGGGGTGCGGCAGGCATCCAAGGCCAGGACCCCAGGACTGAGATAGGGGCCCAGCCCGGACTGTCTCCCCACACTCAGAGCCCTGAGGCCAGCACCCAGGGAACTGGCCTGCAGGCATCACCTCCCCGAGCCTTGCCTCCTCCTGTGGAAAATAGGCCAGGAGAGGGAAGGCTGGAAGGATGGAATGAGGTAAGCCACAACCTGACTGGGTACTCGGAATAACACCTCCACGTCCCACCAGCTAGAAGCTTGGTCTTCCCTTCATAGACTGTCCCCACCCCACCTGCCAGGAGGACAAGATCCAGGGCCCTGTATGACCGGAGGGGACCCACGCCTGAGAAGAGAGCTGCGCCCCAGGTGCTTTTCACAACGGCTTCACTGAAATATAATTCACATGCCACCCAGTTCACCCAGGAAATTGTGCAATTAATGCTTTCAGTACAGAGTTGTCAATGCTTACCTCTGTCTAGTTCCAGAACATTCCATCACCGCAAAGAGAAGCCCCGTCCCCATCAGCAGCTACCCTCATCCCCTCCCCAGCCCCTGACAACCACGAATCTACTCTCTGTGTCCGTGGATTTGCCTGTTCTGGATGTTTCCCATCAATGGACTCACACCCTTTGTGTCCTTCTGTGTCTGGCTTCTCTCACTGAGCATCGTGTTCAACTTCCATCCACATTGTATCAAGTGTCAATGCTTCACCCCTTCGCATGGCTGAGTGATGCTCCCATGTGTGGAGGGACTATATTCTGTTTACCCATCATCCATCGATGGACACGTGGTTGTTGCTGCCTTTTGGCTGTCGTGAATCATGCTACTGTGGGCGTGTACGAGTTTAAGTGTGAACATAAGTCGCCATTTCTCTCATGTATATACCCAAGAGTGGAACTGCTGGGTCACACGGTGATTCTATGGTTGGCTCTTTGAGGAGCTGCCAGAACGTCTTCCACAACAGCTGCCCCATCTCACATTCTCACCAGCCGTGCACGAGGGCTCCAGTGTTCCCACCTCTTCACCAGCAGCTGTGATTGGCCATCGTTTTGATTGCAGCCATCCTAGTTGGGTACAGCGGTATCTCCCTGTGGTTTTCTGGAAGACGTCAAGCCTACAGACAAGTTGTGAGAACAGCACGATGAACGCCCTGTTGCGGGAGTCCCCAATTCTACATATTATTTTTGATTTCCATCAGCTGGAGGATGGGTAAATACACTGCAGCAAACTCACGGGGGAGTACTACGCAGCCATGAAAAAGAGTAACCCACTGAATACACAACAATGTGGATGACTGAGACAGAATGAGGAGAAGCAGTCAGACACAATAGGTGTCCATCTATGGGGCATTCTGGAAAACCAACCCGTGGTGTGAACTGTCCGATGGGTGTCGCCCTCAGGGGCAATGATAGGGGACATGAGGGGGTTTCAGGGGCTGGGTGTTCTTTGGAACACCCCTCTGTCCTGGAAAATTAATTGAACTGTATTCTTTCTTTCTTTCTTTTTTGGCCGCGCCCACGCGGCCTGTGGGATCTTAGTTCCCTGACCAGGGATGGAACCGCGCCCCCTGCATTGGATATGCAGAGTCTTAACCACTGGACCGCCAGGGAAGTCCCGTGAACTGTATTCTTGATGTGTGCACTGTTCATGTTCTACCTGAAAAATGCACACGTGTGGTCTTTTTATGTACGTGAGTAATTTGGGAGGCAGCCTCAGAAATGGTCGGACGAGTTTTTGTTTTTTTTGGCTGTCCCATGCAGCTGGGGATCACATTTCACCGACCAGGGATCGAACCCAGACCCTTGGCAATGAAATCGAAGGGTCTTAACCACTGGACCGCCAGGGAATTCCCGGACGAGTCTTCTAATGTCAGGGTCCTCCGTCATAGCCAAGCGGCAACCTCATCCCTCATCCACGCTCAAATGCCCCCTCTTGTCACCGTTATGTCCTTGAATACATTTTTTTCTCATCCCAAACCTGGGTAGGGCACATGCAGTGCCTTCTGTTCTCCCTTTGTCTCTGTGATTGGCTGAATAAAGACCCACAAACATGTGTCCACATTCTAACCCCCAGAACCTGTGAATCTGACCTCATTTGGATAAAGAGTCTTGGCAGCTACCATTACATTAAGATTTTCAAATGAGATCATCCTAGGGGCCCTAAATGCAGTCACAAGTACCCTTATGAGAGACACAGGCACGGAGGAGAGGCCACGTGAAGGAGAAGGCAGAGACGGGAGGGACACGGCCACAAGCCCAGGACGCCTGGAGCCCCAGAAGCTGGAAGAGGCAGTAAGGATCTTCCCCGGGAGCCTCCAGATGGGGCACGGCTCTGTCCACACCCTGATTTCATCCTAGTGATACTAATTTTGGATGTCTTGTCTCCAGAAATATGAGAGAATTAATTTCTGTTGTTAGGGCACCAAGTTTGTGGTCGTTTGTTACGGTGGCCCCAGGAATCTGATGCCGTGTCTTTCCATTTAGAGAGAGCGTTCCTTGCCTTCCTCGACATGTCTCCTTTTTTTATTATTATTAATTTTTTCTTGGAGTATAATTGATTTACAATGCTGTGTTAGTTTCAGGTGTAGAGCAAGCTGAATCAGCTATGCACATACATATATCCACTCTTTTCTAGATTCTTTTCCCGTATAGGTCATCACAGAGTATTGAGTAGAGTTCCCTGTGCTACATGGTAGGTCCTTACTAGTTATCTGTTTTATATATGGTAGTGTGTGTATGTCCGTCCCAGTCTCCCAGTTTATTCCTCCCCTCCCCCCAACACTTTTGAAGTCTCACAGACTGTCTCACAGCCTAAGTTCACCTGATCGTCTCTTGGTTCAATGTGGGTGAAAAGTTTTGGGGAAGAACCCAGCACACGCGAACAGCTTCTGAAACACAGTCTTGCCCAAACCCCAACGTCTCGATGCCATGACCCCCTCTTAAGGACATCTGTCTCCACTTGTCTCGTGTGTTATTCATATTTTCACGCTTAAGTTTTACAAGGAAATTTGATATCCCCATCAGGAGTGGAAAACCAGTGCCATAAGTTGACACACTGACAATAAGCTGTAAGAAGAAATACAGAAATCTTCTTTCTGAAGAGAAATCTTCTCTTTGAAGAGACCATGTGACAAAAGTGTCCGATTGGCAGGACCCCAGCCCGGGAGCTGAGACAGGGGTAACACGCAGGTGGCACCAAGCGAGACCGCCTGTGTTTGAGCAGGGACTGAAAGGAGAATGGCTTCCTCGCCGCCAAGATCCAGGATCCAGCTCTTGGGGAGATACTGGTTGAGGGAATCTGATGTCCCAGAGAGTAGAAGAGGAAACTGAGGCAAAAGAATTCAGAAGTCTTGGCTTCCAGCCCAGGCTTCTGGCTCTGCCAGACTGCAGGGATACGAGGGGATGTCTCTAGGTCTTGGGGGAGCCAGGGCCAGCTGATTCAGTGACCCCCTCCCCCACCAGGCCAGGAAGGAAACCCTAGATGTGAGCCAGGTCTGAGGTCATGGCCCCCCAGGGCATCTTGGGGTGGATTGGGGCGGTTTCAGCAGG